ATTTTTAAACAAAATATTGACATTAGAAATGACACATACTGAAACAAAAACGAGGTTTAAATGTACAAAGTGATATGTAGCTTCTTGACCTTTTTATACAATACAAGGTGTCCCATTTTAAACAATATATTAAGATTTCTCGAAAACTATAGTAGATACAAAAAAATGTTTCAAACAAAAGTTGTATGGTTCGGAGGAAGACATAAGAAGGTACCATTGATTTGACCTTGGTTGGCGTCTCCAAGACCAGGTCAAGGTCAGGTCGATTTTTTTAAATCGAATCCCCTATTTTTCATTACATTTTCTTGTAGCATACCTCAAGAGCTTTTCAAAACACTATAATAAAATATTTTTTCATTAAGTGTTTTTCCAGTTATAAGACTTGAAAGAGAGTTACAGTACAGTCGGCATTAGCATTACACAAGTTGTCCGACCGACGGTTAAAACCTCTTGAATGTTATTCAGAATCATGTCGTGGATAACATTTGTCAAGATCAAGGCTATTAGAGATTATTCCTTTTATTTTCATTTTTGCACTAAAAATTCATTTTTACGTAAAAATGAAAATAAGAGGTACAACCTCCAATGGCCTTCATCTTGACAAATGTTATCCAGAACATAATCCTGAACAACATTCAAGAGGTTTTAGCCGTCGGTCGGATACCTTGTGTAATGCTAATGCCAGCGATATTGTAACTTTCAAGCCTCATAACTCGAAAAGTATTTAATGAAAATGAAACTTAATGAAACTTAATTATAGTGTTTTGGAAAGCTCTCGAGGTAAGCTACAAGAATACGTATAATAAATACATATAATAAAAAAAAATGGGGGATTTCATTTAAAAAATTCAAAATGGCCTTGCTCTCATTTTGACAACGCTACCCAAGATCAAACAAATGGTACCATCTTATGCTCCCCTCAAAGTCATAAAACTTTTGTCTGAATATATTAGTCATTTGACACACATTTTCAGAGATAATAGCTTTTAACACTTTACATGGGCCACCCTGTGTATAAATACTTGTTTACGGAGTCTTAAAATGTTTCTTTCTTTTAAAGTATAAGATATAGATAACATATATATACTATTATCATTAGACCATTACACATTGACCCGACAACTGATATATTAACTTTAACACTCAACCGTATATATATTATACAAGTCATCATTTATTTAATAGTATAAGACTAGACAACATATTAGTGATCCACGCATTGTAATTATTGCAATTGATCACAGTATTTAATAAGTCAAGTCTCTACCGCATTCAGACTACATATATTGACAATTTATCAATTTCTACTTTTACCAATCCCTGTTAAATAACTACGTATTTAGCTCCATTTAACCAGATCTTATCAAAGATTATTTACATCAAATGTGTAACTTACAATAATTAGGTTATTAATTAATTTTAAGATTGTATTTTGAAGACCTAATATATGACCTAAAAATAAATATCAAACATTCTTATGTCATTTATTTACCGTTACTGCTTATATATCAAATTTTTTAATAAATATTTATCCACACATACAACCGAATTCGGTTCTCTATTAGCATCATCACTGTATTAGATGGTTATTTTAATCTTAATGTAAATTTATTTGCAATTGTGCACTTAGAAAACCCACAAACAGGGCACCGCTAATATATAAGGCATTTTTATGCAAAAGGGATTTTGCTGCTTTCTTATTTATATTTTTATTTACCAATTTTTTAACTTTAGAATGCTATCGATACGTAAATTTTACGTACAAGTAAGTAAAGTCACTGAATGCGCCTTTGTACATTGCAAAATTTGCACTTGCATGCAGTGGCCTCGCTCACGAGAAACACACGAATGTCTTTATAATTCGATTACCGATTACATAAATAATCGTTTCATTTGTTAGTAATTAATATGCTCTGCAACTTTTTGTCAAGAATTTTCGGAACAGCTTCCTTAACTAGCATCGATAATAATTATATTTATTCGAATCGAGAGGAGTTCAAGTCAATTAAGAAGGATTTACATTTAACGTCTCATTTTTTTTTATTATTATACTTCGTTTATATATGAAGAAAGAAAATTTATTTAATTCAAGCTAAAACTAATTTTCCGAGAGTTAGGTCATGTCAATGCAACCGACCCTTAACGTTGATTACGACTGGATCGAATCAACATCGGGGCGTGTTCTTTACCTCCTTATCCCACTTCACCAACGTAGAAATCGGAATCCGTACGTGCTGCCTTTGTAATATTCGGTGCAGTAATACAGACGATTTCCGGAGCTATTATACTATTTCAAGCGCGACGTCTGGCAGACGTTCGTGTCGCCGAGAATCAGGAGTAGTCGTGTGTCGTAATTTGCCTTTGTATGAAGATTTTATGGGAGAACGGAGAGAGATGCCATTGAAGCGATGAATTCGCGTACTGACGATATATTGCGCGATAACGACCATAAGCGTACAAAGATGCAAATTTAATTGGCGACGCACACGCAAGCAAGCGATGAAAGTTTTCTCCGAATGTGCGAAGGAGAATGCGCGTTTAAAGCGAACTTTTTAAAAACGACTGTGACTATAACTAACCAGCTAAAATAGATCGCTGCCGTTTTTTTTTTTATTTGCATACCCAGAATAGGACAAATTTCCTTACTCTTATCGGACAAAGTGCCTCGGAATATATGCACATAGGTATTAAAATACATTTATGTTCTCAAAAGCATAATCGCATTCGAAGCATATTTACATACAGCAAATGCCATGGAAAAAACATATATGGTAAAATACGTTTTGTTGCTTTGATAAAAATCCTACAGTTCGTGACTGTGTTCGTGCCCTAGTTTTGCATGCGCCAAACATTATGACAATTTCTGAAGTTTACTGCAGATAAAAAGCGGTTAGCGCTAAATATATACGACAAATGCACATACAAATTCTATTATCATATTCATTATCATTCTATTCATTTCTTCGATCTCCTGGCACAAAAAGAGACTAAAATGAAAAATATACATGACACATTTTTAAAATATCCACTGAGATAAAAAAATACTTAATGCACTTGTCCCATATGTGTGCTCATTTCTTTTTCTTAACGTATGCTTAAGAAATCAGAAAAATGTGTATGAAATTCTTTCTCTCCCTTTTTGATGAATTATGCCGCGCAAAAAATTGCGTACGGACGTACATTTATGTCGCGGTAAAGAAAACGTATGGAAATTTGCATGGAAATACGAAGCTCGTTTAATCAAAACAACAAGGGAGATGAATTCCATGGACATTTTTACTTCGTTCTACCGAGATTAATTCTGTCTATATCTATCTATATTGTCCATCTATGAAATGCATATATCAACGTATTATGTAAAGGAGCATCAATTTTCACACAAGACATCGATTAAAAAATCATAGAATATAATCTAATATATAGAATTAAATTCTTTATAAGTAACCAATTTCTTTATAAAAAGTCGAATTTTATGGAGTTTTATAAAATTCTATCTTCAATATAAAAACGAATAAAATTATAAGATCAGATTAAATTTCAAAATTAATTAAAAGTTAACTCTTAACAAAAAATTAAAAGTTTACCTAATTAAAATTTTATTTTTAATTAAAAATATTTAATTAAGAGTAAACCCTTAATTAAATATTTAATTAAGTTTAAAAAATAAAATGCTTATAGATTTATAGAAACAACAAAATGTTATTATATAATTACGTACTATAAATTCATTCTAGGAGAGAAGTCGAGCTTGGGATTTATAATCTTATATAAGTCTTATAAAATAAATTTTGATATAACTTTATATATATAAATCCGTAATATATAAGATATGAAGAAGATTGATAAAGATTTACAATATTACACGAGTTAATATATGTAACCTTCAATTCTGGCAGATGTATCATCATCTGTCTCCGGCTGAGAGAAAATAAATCAATTTAATTCTTATTGTTAGTCCGCAAATTTATCAATTTATCAATTTATTTAATATATTAAAAATAATTATTCTATGTATAATTGCATTAAGTTCTATTCGGATGATGGATTCAGACATCGAAAACATCAAGGAGGAGAAAATCTCACCGCACTTTCTGAGGATTATCATTACTTATCAGTTTGGGACAGATAACGTAATTGTTTTAGAAAAAATGCTCTGTTATTCTCAAGAGAAATTTTCCAGATTTATTAAATAAACCATAATCCTCCCCTCTATAGCCATACCTTATTTACAGATTCACCACCCAATAATTTCAACAAATTTAGTTTAATTACTACATCTATTTCGTTAAAATATCGGTGAACACACATTTTTAGAAAAGATTATTATATTTTATAAATATTCTAATAAGTTAAAAAACAAAATCTACACTTATAACTGTTAAATCCACATGTTACTGAAGTAATAATAATAATAGATAACGAGAGAGAGAGATAATGTGAAATTGCATGACGATGATAATAAATTGTATAATATATACTCGCGTTAATAAAATCTAATTAGTTTTCACAAAAGTAAAAGTTACGAGAGTAATAATATTTCTAGCGAAGTTGAATCGATGAAGTGAGACTTCGGCTAATTTCTAAATATTAGACAGAATTAATATTCTAATGTGTAATAATGCAATGTTGTAAGCGACGCTGCAAACTTATTTACGCGCAGCGTTGCGTAATATTGTTTCCTGGCTCTTGTGTTTTATACATGACCACACGTGTTTGTATATGTATACTGTGCGTAAGGATTTAATAACTCGATTTGTACGTAAACTCTGCTGCTCGGTAATCAAGACGCGTACACCAAAATTAAATGTGCACGATTTTCGCGCACTATATAATTCCCTTATAATAAAAAATAATAATAATTTCCTTACAGCAAAAAATAGCAAGTTTCTTTACAAGTTTTCGAATATATTATTCGAATTATTATATTTCGAATATAAACGTTGCGAATTAATTGCGTTGCAAAGCCAAACGGAATCTGCCTTCTTTTTCTCGTAATTACATCGTCATTTTCTTGCGATATCCTAAAAGTTACATATTGAAAAATCAACACTTTTTATTCGAGTTCATTCGTTTACGACAGTAACACTTGGCCACTTCAACTCCAAACGCTCTCATGTGCTATAACTCGCATTTTTCCCCTGCAAGAAATTATCGGCTCGGGAACACCGATGCTCGGAAACATTAAAAACGCGACAACAAATCTTACTCGCGCGAGTAACGCTTTCGCGCGCATCAGTGTGACGGCGTGCGTAAGCGAGCTCGAAAGTTTTCAGAGACGAGTGCATGCGATCACCGGGTCGGATTTACGAGGACAAAGTTTTGCGACGAGAGTGCAGGCAGAAAGAAAAATGACAGCTACGGTCTCTCTGTTTTACCTGACCGAAACTGTGACATCTCGGCAGTTCAAGCGGCTCCAGGGGCACGTTTCTCTTCCTCAGGGTGGCCGCGCAGGGCGCGCCGCCACCTGGCTTACCCCACGGCGAGTAATTGGCCAGAATTTCCTGCAGCTGCAAGGGAAAAAGAATTAGGAGCATAAAGACTGACTGTTGCAGCTGAACTACAAACGTCAGCCAACGCGACTGCAGTTATATTTCGCGCAAAAAACACATTTAAAGTGTGTGCTGAATTTTTCCGTTGTGCAAGTAAAAGCTGCAATAAAACGAGGAATTTTTTTAAATTAAATTTTTACCAGTTCTCAAGAATGTCGTATAAATGTGCGACAGGATACCGCGCGTGTCTGGTATGTAAGAAATAATTGCGCTTGGGGCTCGTAAGAGATCGAAATGCGGCGTCTAGAAACGCGACGCCGCAAATTAAAGATGGCTTTTTGCGCTTAGAAAGGAAGTCGCGCGTCACCTTTTCTCCGTTTAACTTGAAGACGTTTAATGTCGATGCGATCGAGAACTCTACGGGCAAATAGGATTAACCCTGAGCGTATCAACCCTTCTCGGCAACATTGCTAACGCACTTGCATTCGACCGCGTGCACTTGCACCAGACCGCGGCTGCACCAAATTCCCGAGTAATAAGAGGGATGGGACCACGAGGTAATCCCTCGGCCTGTCTTTATTAGCATACTGGTTACACGATAAATTCCGACTCCCCCCCAGTACGCGGTAAACACAATTTAATACGGTCGACGTGTTGCATTAACGATACGAAATAATCACTGAAGCAATAATTATCCCGGGATTTTCACCGGCATAATTTCGACATGTATTTTGTGTTTGATTGAAACGGTAGCAGGACAAAGTATTACGCGACAGATATTACGGTGGACTGAATATCGCACATATATGCCCGTGTATGCCCGTGCATTTTTACGATATATTCCGTACGAATTGTTATTTTCACAGAGGATGGTAATGAATGTAACGAGCGTATGTTCTGTAAATATTTAGGATCGCCCCGATGATGATTGCGCATCATCGTTATGCTACGTCAATACCAAAATAAAATAGAAGAAGGATGAAAACCAGGTAGCGAGATTTTAAACGCCGAATATAATTGGTGTTAAAAAAATATATACGCTATCGTTCATAAATTCAGGAACATTTATAATTTTGTTGCATCTCACGAAAAATAAAAGTTATATCTGGATCGAAACAAATCGTAAAGAAAATGCATTTTTTTTAAATTTATTTTGAAGAAGAGAGAACTATAAATTTCCTTTTTATTTTCAATATTTTTGTCTTATTTTGACATGCTACACTGTAGTTTAATGAAACATCTCAAATTGAAAATTGTCAATAAAGTATTTAAAGTTTTCTAAGCTTTAAAATAGTTTTTAAAAAATTTATGCTTTTCCGCAATGATGTTAATACTGTTCGATATCGAAGGAACAATAGTAATCCAATCACTTGAGTTAAATGACATTTTGTTATTTTTAACTTCTATAATGTGTGCCAAAATGTAAATCAATCCATTTTTGTAGTTAGTTTCAAAGTAAACAACGATCATATTAATATATGCACTTACTAAATAATAAATTAAATTTGAATCAAATTTAATTAATTCTCTTGAGTTAATTGTTTAACTCCATTGTTTTAGTTAAATTAATAACATATTGAATAAAAGTAGTAGCGATCCAGAAATGATTAAAAATAACTCAAATTGAATATAATTTGATTTTATGAATTTAACAGTGAAATTTCTTGTGTAAAAATTCATTTTTACAAAATCTTTTTTAACTTGAAATGTTTTTTAATCTCAAAAGAGTTTACAGAAAAGAGAAAAAAGAGAGAGAATTTTGTTATAATGTTCTCGATTTACATAAATTTTTTCAAAAAAGAATTTGTTAACTTAACTTTTCATAAGATTTAAGAAAACTGCAAATATTATCGAACTTATGAACAATAATGTGTGATACAAAAATATATTTGAAAAAGCAATTCCCAAAAATAATTCGCGTGTTTGCTACGAAATCGTAGAAAATTCTCATCGAGATAATTAAGTTACGCCAATCAACTTAAATGAATAAATTGGCGTAACTTAATTATCTCGAAAATTTGACTGTTTATAGAATTTCCGAATCTCCGAGAGTTTGCGCTTTCTTAAACATCCGTCGTAGACATCGATTTTATTTCTAATTACGATTTATTCCCACGGTCACTTCGGAGATTACCATTAACACGACCCCGACGCCTAATGAGCTGTACAACATTTGTTACAAGTTCGTAACGAGCACACGGAACGAGACATACAGTTTATATAAAGCGCACGAGGAGAAACCGTGATAGATTATTGGGTTATCTTTCGCGGCTTGTTTCTTAAGATAGTTAGAAACGGAGATTATGTAAATCCACTTTAATGGGATAGTTTTATTACCGTTCGCTTCGTACGTAATTCCCCGCTCCGAATTCAACGACACGCTTCGCGAAACGTAGAAATAAACGCAACTAGGTCAGACACGTACTGAAATTACAGCAACATTTTCAAAACATGTCTGTAATAGGAATGAACAAAAAAAATCATCCGATGTTTAATATTGTATCGCAATTTAGTAATCACTAATTTTCATTTTGGAAAAATATTATATTTTCAAATATTTTTATCAAATAATCTTGACCGCATTTCAATGTTTATTTGCTACTGATTCTTTCATTCAGTCTAGGTCGCTTAATTACTAGTAGGGTAAAAGCAGGGATTATGAAATAGCGTTCTTTAAATTAATATTACTCCGATATAAATGCATATGAAGACTTTAAATTTACACAGAACTCTTGAGGAATATGTTAGCTACAACATCCAATAAATGAAAGTTGCCAAAATTTAAGTCCAACGTCAATATTAACAAAAAAGTAAAAAGTGAGAAAATGGGAGGTCTAAAAATGGGATAATATGGAATACCGATGAAATTTTGATCATAGTAATAAATAACACAATAAATGAAGTCCAAATTTGTTTATTTATGTAAACTGATCAAGAAAAATAGAAAACTGTTCACATTTTTATTGTATAATAACACAGAAAATATAATAGCATCATTGAACGTTATTACGCATGGACAATAAAATTAAATCTTGAATCAAATTAAATTATGACGTGCAATAAATATTAGCATCTAAAATAAACATTATTCACAAAAAGAATCAAAAAGTTATATTCTCAACCCTCGATGTATTCCACATTACCTGCATGTCGTCATATGACAAACAAAGTCTTTCCGTAGCAATAAACAAGTTTGAAATAGCAATTAATCTGCATAATATTGCTCATGCAACATTATTAAAAGCGTCTATGTAATATAAGCATTAAAAAAACTTACCTTCAGTTTGTGAGAACACTTTTTAGAAAAAGCTGCCGGATCTCCTGACGTAACGAAAATGAATAAATATTAATTGTAACAAAACGTTTGGTCGGACTGAGTTTATTGCTTGTTATGACATGTTTGGTAGCAGTTGCAACAACTTTCAGTGATTGCCGCCAGATTGCAATGTTTTGTTTAAAAAATAAGCCACTATTCCATATTAGTAGCCTATTCCATAATCCCTGCTTTTACCCTATACACAGATTGAATGTAAATGAATATTTGTTCTACGACATAACATCAGACAAATTTATGTTGCAAATACAGATAAAATAATGTGAATAACTGAGAAATATATTATTTGTTTTATCAATAAGAAGTTCGTTCCACCATTTGTTTTTAATATAAATTCTATCCTTGTTAGAATAAAGTCATCCTCTTAGAAAGAATTCCTGAGATAACAAGACAAAAATATTATTTTTGACATATTCAATCTTATCGTAATACCTATACAATATAAATATAAAATAATATTAAAACTACAATAATTCCTATTCTGCTCTCTCGAAATAAATAAGATTGGTTTATTGATTTGGGGGGGGGGGAAATAAATTTAAAAGTTTATATATTCTTACATTTTTAGAATAAATCTTTACCCAATGTTATAACGCACTCTCTAAATTCTCTTAAATAAAATCTCACTCTAAAGAATGAAAATTGAAACATGGTTTTAAAAAAATGGTTTAATTTTCAATCTTTAAAAATAAGATTTTTACAGAATGAAATTCACTCTAAAAGTTTTAAACTGTTGTCATATGTTTATGATGCTGACACCACAATATATAAGTATTTTAGGCGAAATCGATATGCTGGATTATTTTATTCTAGATTTAAAAATTTTTCATTTAAGAGTAAAACATTTCTCTTTCAATAATAAATATAACTATCTTTATATATCGATTCTATTTTATGATAGATCGAAAAATAATGGGTGCTTTATATTTATTTGATGACACAAATGTCGCCTATCTTTGTTACTCTCTGAACGTCAAGAAAGATAGAATGATGTTTGTGTCGATTTGTGTCACTAAATGGAAATGCCAACCGGTATTGAATCCGCGGAAATCTTCTCTTTAAGACTTTTAGAGTGAATCTTACCGGTCTGAAAAATAAATTTACAAAAAGATTGAAGATTAAACCACTCTTTTTCAAGACTGGCTCAATTTTTACTCTTTAGAGTAAATGTACTGATTTTCTATCAGTACAT